ATTCTTCATGAGTTTCTTCAAAGACATTTGAAAACAATGAATGATTTTGTAAACTCATTAAAACAAATATTATTGTAGCATATTTGAATTTTGCAATTGTTAACTCTTAATTTTCATACATAATTATATATATGGGTGTTTGCAACTAATCAAGGTGTTCAGAATTCTGCAATTGCTAAATTGCAGAAATTCTGCAAATTCTGCAGTAATACAATCCTTAATCATATTTTTCTCAAAGCTCAAAACTAACAATAAGCTACACTTTAAATTCCTAAAAGCACTACATACATCTTTTCGCTTAGGAATAATCCAGTTAATATACTGGAGATAAGTTTTTATTTAACAAATATTCAGTTGATATATCAGAGATAAGTTTTTATTTAACAAATACAGTTATGATTTATGCACAATAACATTGAAATAGATATACTTTCAAAAATAGTCCTTAGGGTGTTCAAAATACTATGTAGTGTTACTGACAGAAATATCAATCAACAAATAGCAACAAAATTATCTGACTTTGTTGGTCCAGAATCAGTATATTGAATATTAGTAAAGAGAACTAATAAAAGGAATAAGAGATACTAAAATTTAATACGTAACAAGAAATTAAATTACTTAACTTAAGGACCCTGTGGTTATGCAGTAAGACTAATTCTCAGACTAAGTTAATTTATACCTCAATTGAAGCCTGCAATTATGGATTTTATTAATGTTAAACAGTTGCCTCATTTTAACCTTTTGTTTATGTAATGATATCTCCAACTTAGTTCTGTTCCAGAACTATTTTTTATCATTACAATGTACATACTGTAATGCACTCTTGATTATTAAGTTATTACCTACCTTTTATACTTGTATCATCATAGTCCATATTAATCTTACCTTTAGTAGTAATTATATATTATTGATGGTTTAATTCATGCAACTGCACTAAGTTTACATGCAAAATATCATGCATATTTGATTACACCAAGTTGTAATTATTGCATTTTGAAGCAGATATGTGAAATCAATGGTGTAAGTGTTGAGATTCTATGTTAACACTCTGTAAATCATAATGTTACATAAGAGCACATCTTTGCTCTTGGTTAAGAATAATGTTTGCCCTCTAGATTTATCCTCTAAATAAAGAATATTTTCCTTTTTATAATAAATGCCTATAATTATGAATATCATGTTCTCTATTTTATTGTTAAGTCTGTGTTACTTATCTAACATCAACTATTAGTACTAAAAACTCAGCATATAGTATTAGGCTCTCATTTACGATGGTTAATAGTTACAGCACATACATATGTCAATTCGAAACAAGTTAAAATTATAAATAAAAATAAACTAATAGAAATTTGCTATTTAACTGCATATTTTGTCTACATATTGTGCAAATTCTGCAAATTCAGTAAATTCGAATGCACTACGTACAAAATTGCAGAATTTCTATGTACGTACAATTGCATAATTCTAGACAACTATGTTATTATTATTATTAGTTAATAGTATAAATATATGCCGATGTAAATCGATGTAGATCGATGTAGATCGATGCAGATCATACCGATATGCACTTTTGTACAAGGTTATATAAAACCAAATATTTAAATAGATAAATTATAATATAGTATAATTTACTATTCTAATTAAAATTGTATATCTGAATATACTTTATTTGATGGGCCAATAAAAATTTTTTAACCAAAAAGCAGATCTCCCCCCTTTCTACTGAATAGCCCTCATATGAATTATTAATGACCACTTTATTAACAATAATACAAGAAGAATATGACTCAGAAAAAGCAATCAAAATAGATGCATATCCAATAAACAATAGCGATCTATTAGAAGCAAAAGAAATACTACAACTAGAAAAATTTTATGAAAACGAAATGAAAATATTAAATAAAAACCTAAAATTTCTAGCGCGAATCAAGAAATGATTAACCAAAGCCAATGAAACAAAATATCTTAGAATATTCTTCAGAACTGAAAGAAGTAGAATATTCAAATACTTAGAAAATCACCAACTATGGAAAGACTAAAAAGCGAAACCACATTACCGTGGCTAAAACAACAACAATTTAACTATTACATTGTAAAGAAGCCTATTTACGTGAAGCCTATTTATGCATATAAACAATTATTGGAATACGGACTTATTAAAATCCGACCATTTACCAATTACGGCTACTTTAACGACACAATAAACAATATAATCGAACAATACCCCAATTATATAATGAAGTAACATGATCAAAAGATCACCGGCAAAATAACTGAACACGCTAAGGTATAACCGAGCCCCATCCCTATATGGGGGGTACTTTAGGGATTTACTTATTTCTGCAAGTGATACAAGCCCAAAAAGGAAATGATTGTCATTTCACTAAAAGTACGTAACATTTGACTAGCGTTAAGGCTAGGGTTAAGGGTTGGTATTAGAAAGGTCATATAGTAAAATCTGGCCAGGAATTTTTTTTAGAACGTAAAATGTGATTTTCTAGGCAAACTTTTGAGTTACCGACGATCTACATAGAAAAATTTCCTTTTTGGGTTTGTATCACTTGCAGAAATAAGTATACGCGTACTTTAGTAGGGGGGTACTATAGTCAGTGCTGTACGGTATATGTAATAGTAATACAAAAAGCTAATAAAGTAGGAACCTTACTATTACTATTATAAACGCTAATCCTAACTTAAACACTGCCATGTGAAAGTGAAAATTTTGACGGCGATACTGGGTAACATTCCAGACTGAGTTCAAACTAAGGTTCAACTTATGGAACCGAGTCGGACCGAACCGAACTTTTCACATCCCTACATTAGCCTTTTTGAAATTCAATTGTCATTAGCAAGAGATCATTTATCTTTCAACACGTTTTAATAAAAATGCTTATAAAAGAATATAGAGTAATTAACAACTGTACACGCGACGAATATCAAGTAAGACTCTTACTCATTCGTTATATCGTGGAAGTAGCCTTTTTTTAAAAAAATCTCCTTGCTTAGTAGGTTGCTCAGCTATATGCGGTCGCCGAAGCTTCAAAGGCCGAAACTAGCGGAGGCGAAGGCGTTGAAGTAATCAAGAACGAACCTTACGATAATGGAAGAGGTCAATATACGTATAAGATATATCATTTTTCTAGGTTGGTTTTAAAATATGACACATTTACAAGAGCATTTCACCTTCAAACTATGAAATCAAATAATGCAATTTCTATCGTTCATCTCTATTCAATTCACGGTGCATACATATGTATATTAGATAATAAAGAATTCTAACTTATAAGTCTTGATTTATAGCAAAGTTCCAACGTTAATCAGAGCATTGGCACCCAGTGGAGCGCTTGACCTTTACGAAGAGGCGTGGAATGCTTACCCTCATTGCAAGACAGGTATTGGATCATGTTAATCACGTAAGGGTTAAAAAGCATCAGAATTCATTTATACTAACCCATAAACAAACATATTTTACATATGAATTTAGTCTTAACAGTAAGTATTTCTTTGGAATCTACAAACATTAATTTTATGAACAGAAAAACTGATAATTTGTTCCATAGAATGGATACATGAAAGAAAATTTTAAATTGGTCACTGAATCAATGCATATTGATAATAGCCGTGGCGAAGTAGAAAATGTAAGTTTTTTTTAACTGGTTTGATATATGATCATAAATAATAAGTGTATAATTATACCTTAATAATTTAGGCTTTGAATATTTCTCAAGACCTACTTGAGAAACGTCAAGTAGTAATAATCGATATTGCAAATGATTCCATTGATAAGAAAGATTACCGGGAAGATCAAGATCCTACTTTGTTCCATTCTGAAAAAACCGGTAGAGGCCCGTTAAAAGGCGATTGGATTGTAAGAATTGACAATTTTAACATTTGTTATTTTTTATTCTATATGCTTATGTAAAGTTATTTTTTATGTCTCGAAGAAAACTGTCACACCGGTTATGACTTGTTATAAGCTTGTTACTGTAGAGTTTAAATGGTTCGGTCTTCAAACTAAAATTGAAGCATTTATCCAAGATGTAGGCACATTATATTATTCAAACTTTTTCTTTTTTAAATTACTTTAATAACTTTTTTTTAGTTCATGCATTCTCTTTTTATTAAGTTCCATAGACAAGTTTTCAGTTGGACTGATAAATGGTTTGGTATGACCATGGAAGATATTCGTGCATTAGAAGATAAAACAAAACTAGACCTTGAAGAGGTATTATTTATAAAATTTTTGTTTTTTCAATGAAGTTTTAATAAATTTCTTCTTTTGTATTTAGTCACTATCAAAACCAATAGAAGTCACGGAAGTTGAAGCTAGTGAACCGGTTGTTGTTAGGGCTTAAAATATACCAGACAATTTCCACTTTCATAATGATTGTTTTTTTATAATATATATTTACTTATAATAAAATAAAATAATTATTTGTACTTGCATTTGACGTTACAACTGCAGAATATTATTGGCCGGAGAAGCGACAGACATATACTTCTATGACTGAAATTGCATTATAATAGAAATATCAAACCCATAATTTCGGCATTTTCTGTCTGTAATGATCTGAGGTTATTATCAATATAAAAAAATTTAGGGCCCTGTTACCGTTTCCGGTTTCTAGTATTTAATCAGCGATGTGCTTTTTTGATGTTTAACGTCTAAATGTCCAAGTATTCAAAGCTCATCTAGTGCTAAAATAGGTTATCTTAATAAAATTTGAATGATTTTAATATTTAAAAATGTTTAAGATATTTAAACTTTGTTTAAAAGCTGTTTATGACGTCTTTAATTTCAATATTGAATAAGATTTTTTAAATCAATTAGTTAACAACTAATCATTATGTTTAATAAAAAATTAATAAAATTTTGTTTTTGATCGGTTAATTATAAATTTTTTAATTTTACTATTGTAATACATATATTTATATATATATTTTAATTTTAGACAGCCATGTTGACATCTTTGATTAATGGTAGGGTATAATATTTTAAAATTATATATAAACTTGATGATATTTTTCTTTTGTACTTTCAATTACAAAATTTTTTACTAATTTAATAATTTTTGAGTTTTTAAGTAAAGTTGTAAAGTAGATTTTTGTGATTCTAACAGTAGTAAAATTATTAAAATTGGTTTAAAACTTATTAATATATGAATTTTTAAAAATTATATATAAAAATTTAATGCTAAAATTCTTTTATTTCTTAAATTATAAATCATTTTCAGGCAAAGTTATCTGGAAAATTAACAAAAGTATACTTATGATCTATATATATATATATACTGTATATATTTATTAAGATTACTGTTTGTGGTAACTATTATCTTTATTGTGTTTTTAGTTAATGCATTATATATAACTTGTATATAATAAGTGTGCAACTAGTTATATATACAATTTTTGATTACCTATTTAAGTAGTCTGCCTATAGGTTTTATATTAGTTATCATATCTATAATTTACTAAAAGATTATTTATTTAAATACTTTAATCCTTATACTGTATTTAGTAAATAGTTTGTTTTTATACATTTAAGTATTATTTAATCTAATTTGTCTGAAGCATAGCAAAGAACACTATATTATTCTGTAAAAGGTGATATATAAGGTTTGTTTGTCTATCTTTCCTATTATTACTGTTAAAATTTTCACTTTCACATAATTGTATTTAAAAATCTTTAAATTCGTTTAAGTTAGAGTTAGCATTTATAATAAGACTAGGTTTAAAAGAGATAATAGCAAAATTATATGAGGAATTTTTTTTGTTAGAGCTCAAAAGG